TAATTGGGTCATTTGTTGTGTCCCACGGACCAGGGCAGTGGTTCCTGTGCCCACCCCTGCAGCAATTCCCATTCCTAATAAGATGGCTAAAGTGAGGGATACAGGTTTCTGGCGGAACCGGGTTGTATGTCCCCTTATTTGATCTTTAAATGAACCTGCATCACGATAGAGCACTCTGGGAAACATCTGCACTATCATACAATTAATCACATCTGTTGACCATTTTATGAAAACATAAGTAATGTTTACGTATATAGAATTATACTGTTGTAGGGACGGACAAGGCAAGGCACCTAAGCAGCACTGAAGACAGGGAAACAGTCTTATTTGGTTGCAACCAGATTCAGAGGGCATTGCTTCTGTTGTAATCAATTAATTACCTGAACCCCAAGTTTAGGTAGTTTCAGAATTTTGTACTCAACATGTAAGGGAAGGGGCTCAGAAGTTCCCAGTCTGCAGAAGTTCACAAAAAGCAGTTTTTGTTTCTGGTTTTTTTTTTTCTCTGTTCTGGGCAAGTTAACTTTTCAAGGACACCTGGGAGGGGGAGAACTTTTTCTTTTTTTTTTCTGCCAGCTGTTACCATGGAGCCCAGTTGATAACTTTTTATCTTAGAAATGTAGCCATCTCTGTGAAGCCCCAACTCAAGGACAGAGGCCCTGTTCAGATATTTTGTGAAAAACTAGTAAGGGGGTGTCTAGCTTAGGAGTGCTGATTTTTCCAGCCAGTGGCCAAGTAGAACAGGGCAACATGAAAAGAGGAAGTTTATCTATACTGAACTCTTTTATAGCATAAAAGATTGGACTATGCCAGTCTCCAAGCTTAATTTCGTCAAGGTCTCTTTAATGGTTCTATTCATTCTTTCTATCTGTCCTGAGCTCTGGGGTCTATAAGCATAACGTAACTTCCAATTTATCCCCAGGGTCCTGGTTAACCCCTGATTTACCTGGGCCATAAACGCCGGTCCATTATCAGACCTCATTACCTTAGGCAGGCCGTATCTTGGAAAAATATCTTTTAGGATCTTCTTGACCACCATTTGCATCGTTTTTTTGTTTTATTTATTTATTTATTTATTTATTTATTTATTTATTTTGTGGGGAAGGCTTCAATCCATCCTGAAAATGTATCTACAAAGATTAGGAGATATTTAAGTCCATACCTTGCTGGCTTAATTTCAGTAAAGTTCATTTCCCAAAATTGTCCTGGTCTGGTTCCTCGAAGGCGCCTTTCTACAGGAAGCTTGGAGGGGTAAGCATTAACCAATTGATAGACCCTACAGGCTTTTGTTACCCGTTCAGCTATTTCCTTTTGCTGTGAGCTGGTTAGTGGAAAACTCTGTTCTTGATCCTTCAGGAATGCCTGCAATTTCTTTGAACCAAGGTGAGTGAGTGCTAAGCAGATTGTATGGATTAGGTACTGTGGGGTGAATGTCCTGCACTCTGTTGTTGATCTCTCTTAGGTCTTGAACAGGGCGATAGTCCCAGGTTCCTGGCTTTTTTTTACTGGTAGCAGGGGAGTGTTCCAGGCCGATTGACAGGGCCTTAGGACCCCTAAGGCCAGATATTTCTGAATATGGGGCCTTATCCCATCTTTAGCTTCTTTGCTCAGAGGATATTGTTTAATATTAATTGGGGAGGCTGAGGTATTTAACTCCACTATTATTGGAGGTTGTTTTACGGCTAGGCCTAATTTAACAGTTTCTGCCCAGGCATCTGGGTAATCTGTTATCCATTTCTGGGATAGCTTGCCTGTTTGATCAGTCTTGGGGGTGTGAATCGTTGATGTTCATCTTTTACTGATATAGTTAAAGCCATGACTCCACCCATTCACTCCTCTTTTCTTCTGTCAGTACCCACACCAGGTCCCACCAGGTCCTCTTACCAGCTAACCCAAAGCTCAAACCAGCTGAGGAGAGCCCTCAGACCCCTAACCAAGATATAATGAAAATGGCCTTTAAAGTTGCTTTGTTATCACTGAAAACAGGTTACTAAAAATTTAAAGTCCCTCACAGGCTTTTTGGGAATCTGCTCTACCTGTTCTACTACTCAAGTTTTTGTTGATAGAAAAATTCCAAACCCCTTTCCCATTATTCTTTTACATCTCTCCTTCCTCATTCTCAGATCCATGGAGCTGCCCTCAGCACCACCTTCCCCATCCTCCCCATCTGTACCAGGCCCACAGAAAAGTCTTAACTGACCTTCTCCAGAAGTCTTCACCATGGCTGACTTTAGGACTTTCAGCAAAAGAGTCCTTATAAAAGAGTTCAGTATAGATAAACTTCCTCTTTTCATGTTGCCCTGTTCTACTTGGCCACTGGCTGGAAAAATCAGCACTCCTAAGCTAGACACCCCCTTACTAGTTTTTCACAAAATATGTGAACAAGGCCTCTGGCCTTGAGCTGGGGCTTCACAGAGATGGCTACATTTCTAAGATAAAAAAGTTATCAACTGGGCTCCATGGTAACAGCTGACAAGGAAAAAAAAAGTTCTCCCCCTCCCAGGTGTCCTTGAAAAGTTAACTTGCCCAGAACAGAGAAAAAAAAACAGAAACAAAAACTGCTTTTTGTGAACTTCTGCAGACTGGGAACTTCTGAGCCCCTTCCCTTACATGTTGAGTACAAAATTCTGAAACTACCTAAACTTGGGGTTCAGGGGACTAATTGATTACAACAGAAGCAATGCCCTCTGAATCCAGTTGCAACCAAATAGGACTGTTTCCCTGTCTTCAGTGCTGCTTAGGTGCCTTGCCTTGTCCGTCCCTACAACAGTATAATTCTATATACTTAAACATTACTTATGTTTTCATAAAATGGTCAACAGATGCAATTAATTGTATAATGGTGCAGATGTTTCCCAGAGTGCTCTATCATGATGCAGGTTCATTTAAAGATCAAATAGGGGGGTATACAATCCGGTTTTGCCGGGAACCTGTATCCCTCACTTTAGCAATCTTATTAGGAATGGGAATTGCTGCAGGGGTGGGCACAGGAACCACTGCCCTGGTCCGTGGGACACAACAAATGACCCAATTATCAACAGCAATGGACCAAAACTTAAAGATATTAGAAACCTCCATCACAGCTTTGCAGGAATCTTTAACCTCTCTCTCTGAAGTTGTTTTACAGAACAGGCGAGGGTTGGACCTCCTCTTCATGAGAGAAGAGGGCCTTTGTGCTGTATTGAGGGAAAAATGTTGTTTTTATGCCGACCATACTGGAGTTATAAAAAAATCTATAAGTAAATTAAAAAGATGCCTTAAAGAGCATCAGTGAGAGAGAGAGAGACCCAAAAAGGGTGATATGAGTCTTGGTTCACACAGTCCCCCTGGTTAACTACGCTTTTATCAGCCCTGGCCGGTCCTTTAATAATTCTTATATTGTTGCTAACTCTAGGACCCTGTTTGCTTAACCATGTAGTTTCCTTTCTCCAAGCCCAAATTAGACAAGTCAAACTTATGGTAATCAGACAACAATATACTCCACTAACAAACATAAAATGTTACACCCCCCAATGATCACTTTTATGTTTAAAAGTAGCCAGAAGAAGTAAAAAATGAAAGGTTAATAAAATAGGTACTTGTCACTCTGTTTTTCTATATGCTTAACAAAACACTGTTAAAATCCTGAGAACTGTTTGCTAATCTTGTTCCCAGAATGTGCTGTCCCCAACTGCCAAACTGCAGGATGCACTCCCTCACTGGGTTGCAGGCAAACTGCCCACTCGCCCTGACCCGTCAATGAACTTCCCTCCCTGCCCTCTCCAAGAAAAGTATATAAGCTCTTCTCAAGCTGTTCTCAGGGCTCTATCTTTCTTTGCTCTATTCAAGTGAGCACTGAGCCCCAGCATGCTGGTCCCCAAATAAACCCTTTTGCTGTTGCATGAGGCAGTCTCTTGGTGGTCTCTTCCTCCGACGTTTTGCGGGTCCCTTACAGGGTTAAGTTATGATCAAACTTGACACTCATCCCCCTGGATATAGTGTGGGGAATGGACTGTAAGGGGACAAGGTTCATGAGAGAACTAAGAGTCTCTTCCAATAGCCCAGCGAGGATTTCTCTCCTGTCTAGGATGAAAAAACTAGGAGAGTGACACCCACCCTTAGAGTGTGGGGAGGAAACAACAGATTAACTCATGGGAAACTGTGGTGCAGGGCACATGCAGGCCCTCTAATGAGAAGTAGGGGTATCGTAGTCTCAGTCCTAGCCAAGTGCCAAAGAGGCGTCTAAAATCAGCTAGAGTTTTGACAGGAGTTGGAGACACTGTGTGGGATGGTGGGTCAGATGGAACTCACTCTGACTTGTAGGCTCTTTTCCATGGGCCTCCACTAGTGGTCCACAAGAAAGATTGGAACAAGAGACCAAAGGGAGCCCCCTCTGAGGGGAAAGGGGACAGCAGGTAAGTGATGGCAGTGGGACAGGAACTAACACTGCTACCTACCTGGGCCCTTCCCTCATTCTAAGCAAATGCCTTATACTGCTGGAGAGAGGCAGGAACACCTCATGGCAGGGCACAGATGAAAACTCCTGGCTGCTGGGGAAGGACTGATACAATCCTCTACCCTTGGGGAAGGAGTATGACACAATTCTATACCAAATCCAAGCAGACAGTGGCTAGGCGGGTAACCAGGTGGCAGAGTGCTTATCTATCATGCAAAAGGCCCTGGATTCCATCCCAGCTCTGCAAAACAAAATAGAAAACCCAATGAAGCAAAGGTCTGCTGCTTGTGGGAAGAGGCAAGAATTTTCCATCCAGGCCAACCAAGATACATGAGGCAAGATTTTTCTATAACAGGGAGAAGGGAGAGCCGGCCTGAGAAAGTCCCATCCAGAAATCCCAGACATAGAGGTCCTACCTAGGGGGAATGCTTGAGAGAGTCTAGATGCCCAAGAACTCTGATAGCCCACATCCACATCTCATTTTGGTTTTGATTTGCATTTCCCTGATGATTAGTGATGTTGAGCACTTTTTCCTATACCTGTTTTGCACAACTTCTTTTAAGAAATGTGTATTTAGGTTCTTTGCCCATTTGTACATCAGGTGGTTTCCTTGCTATTGGTTCTTTGAGTTCCTCGTGTATTTTGGATATTAACTTCTTATTAGATGTATGATTTACAGATACTTTCTCCTAATCCATAGGTCTTCTCTTCTGTTGATTGTTTCCTTTATTATGGAAAAGCTTTTTGATATAATCTCATTTATCTATTTTTGCTTGTTTCCTGTGCTTTTGGGGTCATATCCAAAAATTGACTGCCCAGGCCAATGTCACGGAGCTTTCCCTGACTGTCCCATGAAGTTTTCATTGTCAGGTCTTATGTTTAAATCTTTAATCTTTCTGAGTTGATCTTTATATACATTATGAGGCAAAGGTCCAGTTTCCTTCTTTTGCATATGGCTATGTACCATTTATTAAGGAAAGAAGAGAGTGTCATTTCCTTATTCTATATTTTGGCACTTTTTTTTTTGATAACCTTAAGTGCATAGGTTTATTTCCAGGGGTTTCTGATTCTGTCCCTTGGTTGAAGAGATTTCTTTTTTTTTTTTGCTAGTGACATGAAGATTTATTATTCTAGCTTCCCCCCCACCAGGGGGCGGTGGTACCAGGGATTGAACTCAGAGGCACTCAACCACTGAGCCTCATCCCCAGCCCTATTTTATATTTAATTTAGAGACAGGGTCTCACTGAGTTGCTTAGGGCCTCGCTTAGTTTCTGGCTTTGACCTCCCAATCCTCCTACCTCAGCCTCCCAAGCCACTGAAATTATAGGTGTGTGCCATTGTGCCAGGCTACTGTAGCTTTTTTTGTAATTTCAAGGGTTTTTTTTCCTTTATTTGGCATTTCTTGATCCCAAATATGTGCTCAGCTTAGTCTTATGAGACTGACATTTAGACTAAGATGCTCTAGATAGAGATGTAAAGATAGATAGGTGTAGTATATCGAGGAGGTTAACTGTGAACTGTACAGCATATTGAAGATAGGCAGTGAGGGAGGAGATGTGTGAAAATGGAAATGTTTATCTCAGTCCTAAAGGTGCTGCACATCTGTTTCACTCTTTGTAGCTATCTGTGTAAACATCCAGTAGCAAGCACAGTCCATGGTGGCCCAATGTCTGTTCCAGGCTTTGTGGATGAAAAACAAGTAATATAAGCCCAAATGTCTGCTTTCAAGGAACTTAAACCAAGAGAACAAGGATCAGGCAAAATAGAAGCAATGCATGACAGTATATAAGGGTAACTAGGATCCAATGCTGGTCCCACAGTGATGGCTCTGGAGATGATAGACTACAAAAAGTCATTTGTAGACTTAGGTTGTTAGGGGAAGATTGACAGAGTCTTAGGATTTCCATTCTATCAGAAAATTCAAGCATTAATCCAGACATCCCATGAGACAAGGAAAAAGGGTGATGTCATGAAGCTCCAGGAGTTCTGGAACAAATTAACAATAAAGCTTAGCCAACTACTGCTCACTTAACAACTACCCAACACTTAACAATGAGTAGTGATCCATTCCCACTGATCCTGCTACAAGATGAGAATGCTTTGGCATTTATTCTATAAATACCCATTATATGATACAACATACATGTCAACATATAAATGAATTTATATATGCAGCATATATAATATATATTTTTATGTAGGTATTTTAAAGAAAAGATATGCAAGTCATCTTTACAAATAAAATATCTGTGTTCAGTCTCCATTCTAAGCCAGTACAAATATTACAAATGGCCCCAAAGGAAATGGAATCCAACTCTTTGAATATTTCCTTTCCATAACCACACCCTCTGAGAACTGCCAATATGTATTGTTCTATAAACATACACACACAAAATTGTCTCAGTTACTTACCTGTGATTACTGAGAAGCTTAACATCTGCCAACAGTTTGGGAATACTTTGTTGTAAAAGTTGTTTATCATCCAAAAAAGTCATGGAGGTACCTCCACACTCTATAAGGAAAGAGTTTATTTCTTCTTCTGACAATTCGTTAATTTTGGAAATTTGAGGCCAGGCCTTTGACTGGAAACATCAACAAACATTTTAGGACAAGGCAGTATAAAACAAGCTTGCTCATAAACAAAATCTTCCTATCTAAAGTCAAGTCCTTAAATCAAGGTTGGCAAATGGAACTCTTTATCTAAAGACTTCAAGAGAGAATTCTTTCTCTATGAAAGCAGGGAAAAGAAAGTTCCTCAGTGACTCGAGTCTCATAGTGTCACCAAAATGGCATACTAAACTCAGAATCCCAGGCCAGACACTGACTTTTTAAGGAGAGGAGAGATAGAGTAGCAGGAACCACAGTTTAAACTAAAAGTTACATAAGTTGGACATCACTGTCTACTTTTCAAATTTCAAGGATTTTTTTCCTGGCTCTAGTTGGTCATTTTTCTGAAAATTGATTAAGTTCTCAGCTCCCAAGTGAGAGAAAAAGCACTGAAGCTCAATATGAGCTCAGAGGTGCAAGAGCAGCACAGGTGATTATCAGGGAACTGATGAAGGGCGCTTCAGAGAAATGAAGAGAGAATGACATTGAAAGAGATCTGAGGAATTTTCAATAGCAAATAGTATCCCTGCCATCATTCCCTTACCGGACCAAACCTTGCCAAAAAGGTAAATAGCATCCTCATTTTTATTCCCCCACTTCCCTCCCCTCCCCTCCTCTTTCCAAAGTAAATGAAAGTACTTACAAGGCGGGTAGTCATACTTGACACAAACAAGTGCACTGGCTCCAGCTTATATTTTTCTTTTAGGTACAGAGAAGTTTTAAAAGCAATGTAGGATCCCAAACTAATTTGTGTAAAGACAAACATGAAGATAACTGTTCAGCAAGACTCATGATGGTACAATATCATAAATACGGCAATGATCATGAAAGAATCAAAAGTGTAAGTTAATTGGTTAATAACTATTTTATTATCATTAGTGTCAACATAAAGAATATTTCAGACACACTAGTACCAATGACTCAGTGCTATAGTTTGGATCTGGAATGTCCTCAAAGGTTATGCGTTAAAGGTTTGGTTCCCAGCATGGTATTATTAGGAAAAATTTTTAAGAAGTGGGGCCTAGTGGGAAGTCTTTGGGTAACTGAGAAAGTGCCTCTCAAGTAGATTTGTGGGATCCTTGCCCCTTCCTTTTCCCTTCTTTAACTGCCAGGTGATGAAGTCAGTGGTTTTGTTCTGCCACATATTTCTGACATAGATCCAAAGTAGCAGGACCAAGAAATCACAGATTGAAACCTTCAAAACTATGAGCCAAGGAAACCTTCTCTCCCTACAAATTGATTATCTCAGGTATTTAGTTATAGTAATGGAAAGCTGATTAACACACACAGGCTTGAAATTCATGTAAATTTCCTTTTTCTGCCTTAAAAAATGTGTATCACTAGGTTTATGTCAGCAATTCTTAAAGAATTAGGGTTTGAGGAATTCTGAGAATTTCTGAGACTCCAATAGGTAGCCAAGCAAATCAAAACTATTTTCAGGATAACACTAAAATGTTATTTGCCTTTTTACACACATGAGTACATAGTGGATTTTTCCAGAGGTTATATGATATGGGATATTGCAAGAATGTAAATGCAGAGAGATTAGACTCCAGCTGCCTTCTATCATGCCAGCAGGTAAAGAGATTTGCAAAAGTGTAAAGCAATGCTGTTTTCTCATTACAATTTTTTGGGGGGTAAAATATAGTCTTTTTATAAAAATACATTATTTATTCAACAACATATGTAGGCTATTAGTGTTATGTTTTTGGTTTGGGGTTTCTTTTTAGGAGGGGCGGTATTGAACCCAGGAGCACTTAAACCACTGAGCTATATCTCCAGCCTTTTCTATTCTTTATTTTGACACAGAGTCTCACTAAGTTGCTTAGGGCCTTGCTAAGTTGTTGAGGCTAGCCTTGAACTCAGCCTTCTGAGTCACTAGGATTATAGGCATGTACCACCATACCTGCTTGTTAGTATTATTTTTAGATAAATTAGCAATTAAAAATGTTTAAAATTTCTTAGTTGTACTTTCTAATATAGTAAATATTGACTGATACATCACATATAAACCCAAGATATTTGAAGTCCTCAATGCATCCTGAAAGTATAAAAGGATACTGGGACCCAAAAGTTTGTGAATAGTTATAGATATGTAGATATATTTTGTAGAAAAAAAATAACAAGGGATGATTCATCTGCAAATTGCATATTTACAGATCTTATGAAAGAAAGGGCAACCCAGCCCCATATCCATAAGTGGAGTGTGAAGTGCAGATAATTTGGAAATATATACCAAGAGTGTTAACAAAGAGCATCTTATTCAAATTAAATACTGGGAATTTATCCTAAGAAAACAATAACAGATTTATGCTAAATTTTTCATAACTTCAATGTTCATTGATTGAAGTTCTACATTAACCATAAATTTGTGAAGAAATTCCCCCAGCTGTCTTTTAGAATATTTAAATACCTGTGGCCAAAAAATGCAAATGGTTTATCCTGGATGATTGGCAGCAGAGCATGAACAGTTTCCTCAACTACCTGGTTGATGTCATTTGCAAAAGGTTCTTCCAGTCGACTTTCTCTTCCAGCAAGTCTTAAACAGGACACTGGATATTGGGAAACACAAGTAAGTACTTCAGATAATGAATGGGGTACTGTTATGTTTAAAGGGTCTTATATTTACACAATGTGAGCACTTCCAAAGAAGCAAATTATGACCAAGTCCAGTGAGTAAAAGTTTAGAATTTGCTGATAAGAAAAACAACATAAAATACCTAGAAATGATAAATAAATAGATAGATGAAATATGCAAGTAATTAGATGCATAGTCTAGGTCACAGTAAAGGGAAAACCTAGAGGAAGAATAAAATAAGAGGGGACTGAAATTTTCAGAAGTGAGTATGTACCAACAAAATGGCAATTCTGAGAGCCATTGCTTCTATCAGAAAAATAAAACACCAGGTTTCAAAGCTGACCAAAAGAATTGGGAGACAAGACATTGGAATGCTTTAAATTTGAGAGTCAGAACTGAGTCCTCTACATAAAACCAGTAAACTCTAAACTCTAAACCCTCCATGAAGAAATTGTGAGGGGGGAAATAATATTCTCCTAATGGCAAAGAAGAAAGCAGAAGTTTCTGGTTTTTGACTCTGGATGTGGGTTGGGATTGAGGTCTCTTATAAACTTTGTGATTGCGGCATGCTTAGTGGCTAGGAAGTTTCTGTGCAAAGGCACAGAATGTCTGGCTGCTGGAAAACTTCCATATAAAAGACACAGGATGCCTGGCCCCTGTAGCAATGTTCTTCACAAGGAAGCTCTGTGTTAAGAGTTTTATCAGTTTCGACCTTGATCTTAGGCATAACTTCTGGGAATAAAGGAACTTCCTTGCTAGATAACTACAATGTTTCACCAAGCTACTGAATCTGCCCACAAACTTTAACAATGGACTTTCTTAAGAGCTGCACAAAGCTCCTGACATTGCATATTATAACTGTGAAATGTAACTGCAGAATAAGCAACCTTACAGATACTTTAAACAATAATGTAGTTATGGTACTAATGACCTAATGTAACCTATTGGTATAAATAAACATGGTGGCTTGAACGAGAGCCACTTTCCTGTCTCTGCACCTTGTCTCTGTGTCTCCCTTTTTATTTTCTTTACAGGAGTCTGCCCTTAGACATTTTTAAACAAAGCCTTGTATTTGTGCAAATTTGAGGCTAGTTTATGTTACTTTAACAATATGAGAAAAATGAAATTGAAAAATGAACTCTTAAATGAACCTGTTAGTAGCATCAAAGTAGCACCTGTGTTAGAAGCACCCGTACTTCCTTTAAATCGCACTGACAAGTATCTCCTCATGAATACAGACACAGAGTAAGTCTTTCCAGAATCAAGAATCAAGCTGATCCCAAATAGCAGTGTGCTGGAGAAAGTCTCACACACTTAAAAAGGAGTACAACAAAATCCAACAATCAATAATATAAAAAAAACACAATGTCTAGTTTCTAATCAGAATTCACCAGAACATACTGAAAAAGTGGGAACACATGACTCATAATGTGTTTCCAGGAGTGGGGAAGGGGATGCAAACATGAGAAATAGACAAGAAATAACAATTGATGTGGTTAGAACCTTAAAACAGCAATTATGAATATGCATAGTTACATAAAAACATAAATGTGATGAGAAGAGGAAGATTTTTTTGAAGACCCAAGTGGAACTTCTAGAGATGTGAAATAAAATCTCCAAAATTAAACACCTACATGTGCGTGCGCGCGCGGGCGCGCGCGCACACACACACACACACGCGCACACACACACACACACACACACACACACACACACACACAAACTCACACCAGATGTGATTAACAGCAGATTAGACACGAAGAAAAAGTAATTGTGAACTTGGAACATTTAGAAAATGAAACTATCCAAAATTAAGCATAGAAGGCATAGAACCAAAGGGGAAAAATAGATGAGTGTCCTGTGGGTAAAATATGAGTCAATTCAACATAAATAGAGTTGAAGTCCCAGTAGGAGAGCAGAGAGAAAGGAAATAAACATTTGAAGAAATAATGGCTTAATATTTCCAAATTTGATAGAAATTATAAAGTCACATATCCAAAAAACCCAGACAGAATAAACAGCGAAAACCACATCAAAGCAAGTCATAATCAAATTGTGAAAAACATAATTAAAAAATCTTAAGCATCCAAAGAAGAGAGGCCTAGAGATGCAAATGTAAGAAGGACTGTAAATTTCATGTCAGAAACTTCAAGCCAGAGGACAATTTGGGAGAGGACAATTGACAAGCTGGAATTCTATAACTTGTGACTACATATTTCAAAAGTGAAAACTACCGACATTTTAACCACACAAACCCAAAAGAATTCAATGCAGCAGACTTGCACTTAAATAAATATTAAAGTAACTTCTTTAGGCAGAATAAAAATGTCAGATGGAAATTTGGAGTCTACTTGAACAAAGAAAATCATGTAAATAAATACAAAAGAATTTTTATGATTTTAAAACACTACAAAAGACAATCGACTACACAAAAATAATATATAGGAATTGTATTATTGAAAACAGCACAAAGTTCAAGACGGGGAATGAGTAACAATGCTCTTTTGACTCTTGTAACATTTCATCGAAAATGAAGCAGTATAATTAAATTTGGATGTTGATTGTGATAAATTAAAAAAGCATTTTGGAAATGCTAAAAAAATAACTAAGAAATAAAACAGTGATTTAGAGCTAATCACCCAGTGGTGGAGGTATATGAAAGTCTTTAAAAAAGAAAAAACTAATTCCAAAGAAAAGAGAAGATAGAAGGAAAAAATATGGTACAAATTTGAAAACAAATTGCAAGATGGTAGATCTAATCTAACCATATTAAAATTATAATGATGTGAAAGACTCAAACACTCCAATTAAAAGGTAGAGATAATCAGATTGACTTGAACACAGCAAAATACATCTACAAGCTATCTATAAGGGACACGTTTTAAGTATAAATCACAAAGAAAGGAGAAAAGAATAGGAAAAGATAAATCATGCAAACAATTGTAAAAGAAAATGAGAATGATTGTAATTCACATCAGACAAAATGGACTTCAAAATAAAGGGCAAGCCAGGTGCAATGATACAAAACTGTAGTCCCAATGACTTGGGAGGCTGAGGCAGGAGGATTAAAAGTCTGAGGTCAGCCTGGGCAAAAATATTGTTTTTGAAAACAAAATTGAAACCCCATTTCAAAAACAATATTTTTTTTAAGGACTGGGTGTCAATTGATGAATGGATTAAGCAATCCATATACACAATAGAGTTTTACTCAGTCATAAAGAAGAACGAAATCATGGTATTTAGTAATAAATGGTTGGAACTAGAGAACATCATGCTATGTGATGTAAGACACATTCTTCCAGTGGAAATGGTACATTTGCTGTATTCTACAAAGTATACTGTATTCTGTGTCATACCACATATTTAATTCTAAAAGAACTGAAACAATACAAAATGCATTTTCTGATTCACAACACATTTAGGTAGAAATAGCAGAAAGGTATCTGGAAAAATTCTAAGTACTTGAAAACCAAGCAAAACAATTCTAATTAATAAAGAATAAGCCATGGGAGGTATTAGAAAATATTGTGAACTGAAAGAAAATTAAATCAAACATTGAAAATTGTAAGGTGCAGCTAAGGCAGTAATTAGAGGAGAATTTTTAGCATTACATATTAAAAAGGAAGAACATTCTTAAATCAAAGACCTAGGGTTGAAAACTGACAAGGCAGACATAGAGGTGCATGCCTCTAATCACTCCGGAGACTGAAGCAGGAGGATCACAAATTCCAGGCCAGCCTCAGCAATTTAAGGAGATCCTTTCTAAAAAGCTCAGTGGTAATGTGCCCCAGGTTTAATCCCCAGTACAAAATAATAATAATAATAATAATAATAATAATAATAATAATATCACAAATTAAATTGCTTTCCTATACATCAGAAATGAACATTTGGAATTTGAAATTAAAACTAAGATCTCATTTATATTCCCATCAGAAAGAGAAAGTGAGATAGATATTTAGCCATAAATCTAATAAGAGATATGTACAAAATCTATATAAGGAAAGTGATAAAACTCTGATGAAAGAATCAAAGGATATTTAAATAAATGATGAAATACCTTATGTACATGGATAAGAGGACACACAATATTGTTAAGATGTCAATTTTCTACAACTTGATGTACAATTTCAATGCAATCTCAATTAAAATCTAACAATTTTTGTGGATACTAATAGTTAATTCTAAAGTTTAAATGGGAGCTGGGGGGGTCCTTAGTAGTAGAGTTCTTGCCTAGCATGTACAAGGCCCTGTGTTCAATCTCTAGCACCATAAAACCAATCAAAGTATATATAGAAAGGCAAAAGAATCAGAAAAGCTAACACAACACTGAAGAAGAAGAGCAAAGATGAAGAACTGAAACTACCTAATTTTAAGACCTACTGTGAAGCTACAGCAATCAAGACAGTGTGGTATTGGTGAACGAATAGACAAATGGACCAGCAGAACAGAATAGAGAGCTTAGAAATAGCCATACATATACAGTCAACTGAACTTTGCCAAAGAAGCAAAGATAATTCAATGGAGGAAGAATGTGATTGTTTAATGGCACTGGAACAATTAGGCATTTATAAACACAAAAAAAAAATTCTGGCACAGTCTTTTCACAAAAACGGATCATAGACCAAATGTAAAATGCAAAACTAGAAAACTTCTAGAAGATAACAGAAGAAAATGTAGGTGGTCTTTAGTTTGGCAATGAGTATTCAGATATAACACTACAACAAGATCTTGAATGAAAGAAAAACTTAAAAAGCACCAACTAAAAACCTTCTCATATTAAAAAAAACTTCTAAGTTGGACTTCATCAAAATTTATAAGGAGGGCTGGGATTGTGACTCAGTGGTAGAGCACTTGCCTGGCATGTATGAGGCACCAGGTCGAGCCTCAGTATTATTACTATTATTATTATTATTTCAAAATGCTGGGGGGAAGCAACCAACAAAGAAGGTCCTAGGAAGAGAGGACAGTTAATTCAAATGGAAACACATAGAGAAGAAGAGGTTTCAAAATTGAACAGAATCTCAGGGAGGTGTGGGACAGTATCAAGTGGGAAGCATAGAAAAAAAGAGAGGAAAAAGAGAGGCAGAGAAGATATTTTTGAAGGTATAATAACTGGAAGTCTTCCAAGTTAAATAAGAATTATAATACACAGATCCAAGAAACTCACGAACTCACATTCCTATATGTCATGTTATCTAACCTAATTAGATGGCTTAGATAATGATAAAAATCAACCTACCTTCCATAGAATCATAAATGTTTTGGCCCCATTTGGCAAAATAAGTGGAGCCACTTCCTGCCCATGGAAAACAAATCAGCTTAAAAATTGCATTGGGCTTTGGGTATAAGCAGTTGAAAACTTTCTCATTCCTAGAAAGAAAAATCAAATATATTTAACATTACACATATCACTTAAATTCCCAAACTGAATTAGGTGCATTTTAGTGGAAATCTTTGTTAATTATAAGAAATGTATTTTCAAATATGAAGTGAATGGCATTTTTTTTTCTAAAAAGAGACCAAAAAAGGTTTTTAATGGTCTGTGTTTGACAGTTTGAATATATAAACTCCTAGGGATGTTGGTGAAATAGTCAAATATTTATGTATAACACTTAGGAAAAATATATCCTTTTGTCTAGTGGAAAGCAGTATAATTGTCAATTTTGAAATCACCTTCTTCCCAATTCAGGAAATGATTTTATCCAAACAGTCTGTGGGTATCTTCAATCTCAAGTGCTTTATTACCACCATAGTCATTTCTCAAATCATCCAAAAGCTTTCTATAGCATGTAATTTTTACTCCCTTCTGAGTGTTGAATAAATAATGATCTTGAATCTGCATATAAGTGGTCACTGGAAATTTTATTCCAAGATTCAAGTACCCAGTCATCTGATGTTAGGAAAATTTCTTTCTGAAAAGTCATTCTATATTAATATATTTACATTCCTCACAATTTAAATCTTTCCTATAAAATTTCCAAACCAGCCATTACATTTCTTACAAAGATAGGTAATCTTCCCAAGGGGAGATCGGAAACCTTAGTGGAATGATTTTAAATTCATTGTGCCTCTGTTGTTTTTTTCTTTTTAAATATGTCAGTTTTGTCAGTTGATCTTAATAAACATTCCAAAGGTAGACTGTTGACTCTAAAGAGTTTTGCTCTTCATTCTTAAATAATAGGGAGACCACCCATAAAATGAGACTTTATACAAGTGACAACATTTGGGGGGAGAATGATAATTTTTTAAGAAAAACTCCTTGTATTATAGTCGAGCACTTCTGTTATAATCGCTAGCCTAAAGATAAAAGCAAAAAGGACTAAATTTAGTCGTTTTCTTTTGAAAAGAACATTTGTACTGGAAGCTGTGTTCCCACTTACCAATCCCATCTGCAGCAAATTTACCAATAAAGGTATGGTCCTAAATGAGAATTTCATAGGTGTCTGCCATGTTCTTGAAAAATACTAAAGTCGCTTTTTCAAGGAGTAAAATTAACTCTCTGTACTTTGTACAAAGTGGCAACTTATATTAACCTCATTTTTTCAGAGTACTGAAGAGTCTAGAGCAGGATGCAATGCATGCCTGCAATCCCAAAGACTTGGGAGGATGAAACAGGAGGATCACAATCTGAGGCCAGCCTCAGCAACTTAGTGAGAACCTCAGCAACTTAGTGGGACCCTGTCTCAGAATAAAACAATAAGACCATGGTGCATGCCTGTAATCCCAGTGGCTCAGGGGGCTGAGGCAGGAGGATTGCAAGTTCAAAGCAAGTCTCTGCAACTTAGTGAGGCACTAAGAAATTCAGTGAGACCCTACCTCTAAATAAAATACAAAAGGAGTAAGGAAGTAACTCGGTGGTTAAGTGCCCCCCCCCGGGTTCAATCCCCATGCAAATAAATAAATAGATAGATAGATAAATGGCTGGGTTATGTCTCAGTGGTAGAGAGCCCCAGGTTCAATCCACAGAATAACAAAAAAAGTATAGAAGAATTAATTCAGCAACATTTCTTTAAAATTACACCATATCTTGAAAAGGTACCATATTCTTTGAAGTCAAGAAGCCCTACTTCACACTATTTAAATTATTTGGGTTCTAATGGGCAAAACATGTATTGGAACATGAGTAGGTACAGGTTTTGCAGTGTCCAAGGCATATATAATTTGCAAGAGTCAGGATGGTTCTTTAAGAAAAAGAATACAAAATTAGGAGTGCCAAATTAGCTGCAGAGCCTTTGATCATTTTCAAGGTAAAATTGTCTTTCTTGGTTGGCAGTGGGGACAGGAGTGACTTTTCACATATTTAAATCAGTGTTAATCTCAGGTGGTCCTCGGAACCCATTGGACAGGACATCTACTCTGCAGGTGAACCCAAAGCCAACACCTCAGGAAAGGGTAGAAGAGAGGGCTGCCCATATCTGCTGATCAGGCAGTCAGCAGAGCTACTCTGGCCTGGGTTCTTGCCCACCAGCCCACCCACCCAACCTCCTCTGCACCTTAAAGAAAGAATCAAAAACTGAACTTGCCTTCTACTTATTTATTTATTACCTCTTTATTTTTTATTTGAATAATGAGAATTCTAAAACTTAAATGTTGAGAGTGACCAGAAACACTATTTAATTCACTAGTACATGATAGTGATAAAAGGCTGTAGAAGCAAAGAAACTCAGGTTCAAATCCTAGCTGCACCCCCTACCACATGACTCTAGGCAAAGTACTCAAGTACTTTAAATTCTCAATGTCCTCTAAAATAAGGACAATGATAAAATCTTCCTTACAAGTTATTTTATCATGATTAAAAGTATCAAAAATACTCACCATGATTTTAGGCACACACTAGAAGAAAAATAAATGATGTCAATTATTACTTTTTTAAATTTTTTTAAATGGGGTGGAATTCAGGAGCAATATACCACAGAGTATTCCCCCAGTCCTTTTTATTTTGAGACAGTGTTTTGCTAAGTTGCTGAGGGTTATCTAAGTTTCCCAGACTAGTCTTGAACTTGAGACCCTCCTGCTTCATCCTCCCAAGTTGCCAGGATTACAGGCATGCACCATTATGCCTGGTATCTATCATTACTTATTTGACAGTTGACAAAACTGAAACCCAGAGATATTAAGTCCCCCAACTAGGATACTGGGGCATCAAGAATGGGGAGAAAGTCAAGTGGCACAAGGAATAACTTACCTGGATATCCCAGCTGGGTGTCTTCTCTGCATGCTGCGAGGAGAGGGTACAAAATTACTAATTTCAGCAATCTGTTGAGCCAATGTTGAATTCAATTTCTCTTTAAATATAAAACCTCCAATCAGCCTAGTGCACTCAGAGAAGTTACCAGATTACTTTTCCAAATGAATGACTATAGACTACTCTGATTCCTATTAGAAAAGAACAGAAGAAAGTGGAAGAAGACCACAAAGAGTAGAAGGGGGAAAAAAGAAAAATAGGTTAGAAGCAATGTAACTGATGTGGTCCAAACAAGGGGTTGCTGATGATTAAAATTATCAAAAATTCTCCCCATGGTTTTAAGTGCACAGTATATAAAAAAAATAAATGTTATCTATTTAGTTTTTTGGCAGTGGACAAAATGGAGACTCAGAGATATTAAGTCCCTCAGTCACTTAGTGACAAATCAGAATTAGAACACAGATCTACTTCCTTCCTGAGAGCTCCTTGAACCTCCACTAATCATTTGAGGGTGACCAATTACTTCACAGCCTCAAGTATGAATGCCTGACTTGTTCCTGGCTAATCCCTCCACCTACAGTTCTTAAAGTACAGAGAAGGTGCTGAAAGGAACAGAAAGACCTGTACAGCAAAAATAAACAAAACAAAGAAAAAAATACTTGCTTAAACAGAGGAGGAAAGTTCACTGAGTCCTTCAAATTTTTTTTTTTCCTTTGGAGACTTTTCTTAGCAATAACAATGCCCCAAGCTGTCTGGGCTTGTCTTTTGGGTCTGCTGTCTACCAGCCAATCTGGTAGCCAATGACAGTGCTCAATGTCTTCAGGTTTTAGTTTATCTCATCTTCAAAATGGGAAGCAGCCAGGCATGATAGCCCATGTGACTGCAGAGAATGAAGCCGGAAAATAGCAAGTTCAAATGCAGCCTGAACAACATAGTGATATCCTCAACAATTTAGCAAGACCTTGTCTCAACAGACAAAAAAAAAAGTAAGTAAGCTTCCAGTAGATTCACCTACAATACTCATCAGGCTTTCATTAACTAAATGGAAGTAATTTCTTCTTTGGTAACTAAACATATAAACATATAGTTATATACAGAGTCCCCCAGTCAGTTAGGTATAAATCAGAATTAGAACACAAATTCTATTAATTTTAAAAGTCACTTGCCTATTTAAACCTTTTCCCATATTCTCAGCATCAACATACAAGTAGGCCACAAGGTGGCAGGAAATGGGAGTGTACTAGAGAAACATTGATTTAGAGAGTTGAGACTGGAACCTGCTTCCCACCTTGGTGTATAAATTGAATCTTGCCTCAGTTCTCATTATATTACCAAGAAGTGTGTCCATTAACAGGTCTTTAAGGTCCTGGGCCCAGAATCTTGAGCACATTAGACAAACATTGTACCACTGAGCTACACCATCAGCCCCTGGTAAAAGAATACTTCTACCAAGCAAAATAGAAAGGCAGAGATAGAATACATGTTTTTGGTGTGTATTTACAACTGAAGATTGTTGTTAATTACATTAAATTATTTCAGTTCTTTCTAATTGAAGTAGATAACACTCTCCTTTTCGATATTATTATTTATATTCATTAATAATTGGCACACTAAGTAGTTAGTCATACCTATAAGGACTAAACATTTGCTCAAAGTTCAAATTTATTGTTCAACAAATACTTTCTGAAGGACAAGATGTTCCGCATCATTTCTTAACATTGGCAGCATCTTTGGGTAAAACAAGAGTGACTTTCAAGGAAAACCATGGCGAATTCCATTTGATTGTAGTAGCAGAAGAAGGAAGAAGGAGAAGGCGGCAGAGGCCATATTCCAGTGGTAATATACAGCAATCTATCCTAGCTGGCAACCTAATGCTGGATTCACAAAATCTGACTATTCCAATAACTTATGAAAACAACAAAGACAGCATGCAAACACACAGGAGTACCTTTTCAATAATCCAGGGGCGGCTCTGCCACCTTAAGTGTTCATAAAAAGAGAGCCAGCCACTGGATTCTTTATTCTTACATAGGGACACACAAGGGGAGTTTCCATGGAATATTTTATCCCAAAAAGGGCAAAAAGGGGTAGGATTACAAGGGAACAGGTAAGTATAACTCAACCTCAGGGGGTGCCATCTCCACTTGGAGCCACGCCTTGTTATCCCAGCTGGAGTAACCCCAAGTTACTGCAGAAGGCAAAAATTGTTCAGTGCCCTGGGTCATCAGGACTTAAAGGCAGGTTTATCCAGGGCAGCTCCCGACATATTCCCCCTTTCTTATTATAAACAAAGGCAACTGGGGAATTGTATCTTTCAGTCACTGAATTCTTGGTCCGAGGGGGTCATTATCTACTATGGAAATGTAGAAGGAATTAATAGAAAACATATCACTTTAATAACATAATCAACTTTGGAAGATCTGGGTTATTATTATTACTCTGCCAAATACTCATCAGGAGATTCTTAACCTTTTCCAAATTTGGTGGGGAGAAGCTTTATGTTTGGTCATAGTAATACAAACATTTTTATTTGGCATGGAATTTAAGCCTTTCCACAAACCATTATTTATTCGCATTACTTATTACAGTGGCTTCTAGAGCATTTTAACTTACTTTCAATCCTTTCAATAGCACTTATCTGACTATGAAGATCTTGGAAGTAACTTACATCAAATCATTAGGAAAATTCACATGTCGTAAGTTTTAAACACAGCCACAAAGGCTGTATGATAGGAACAATGAATAATATTTAAAGAAATCACTTCAAGGATCATGAGATCAAGAGCTTGCCTAAGTCTGGTTAATGGCATGCACCTCTCTCAAGGCCTGAATGTTAACTTGAGCATGCCAGCTGACAACAGGACAAAGGGACATTGATGAAGAATTCATGTCCTTTTCCTCTACTATAACTAGTGATAAAATTAGGCAAGTTGTACCTTTTATAAGTTACAGGATATTTAACCATGGTTTCTCTTATTCTCTCATTCAAGGAGTCTTTTAGGTCTGTCAGTAATGTAATATTCTGAAAGCAAAAGTTAAACATCAAAACATCTTTTTGGGTGCCATCTCACTGAAGATTAAGGATTCTAGGAGTTATGACATCCTCATGCAATTCTCTTGCTCATTCTAGAAGACCAGCCTAATATATATCCACCTTTTCTAGACTCCTTATGTTGTACTGGCAAGACATATGCACAATCCATCCACTTGGAAAAAGTGTCATTTTCTATTGTAGAATGATTAGGGCAATAATACATTGTGGATATTTTATGTAAATAACTGGCCTGTATAGGAAAGTTCTATTTCAACAATCTTTCTATTTTGGCAATTGTCCAAATAAATAATTTCTAAGGACCAGGTTTAGGTTTCTCATATGCTGTCTTTTTCTCAAAAGATACTCCCAGACATCCTGTTTACCATAAGATAACATATAGGTATAACTGACCATTACAGCAAATACAATTAATCTAGTTACATGCGTGACTTTCTAGTCCACACTGCAAGGCACTTTAAAGATGGACCTGAGAAGTGGGTCCATAGAAGTTTGTTCATAATTTTTCTTACTTGACAAGCTCTTGCAGTTGCATGGCTATAAACTCTACAGTTGGGAGATTTACCTTCCTGTGTCAGACTTTTCAACCTTAATACAATGACCAGTTTAAACTCTATCTTTTGAAATTTGATTTACTTTACTGAACCATGTTCAGCAGCAGTAAGACTCTCAATATTACAATTAAGAAACATTTTTATAATATTTAGTAAGATCTATTACGTGCCTGTGGGGTCCTGTTTTCCCCCTTTTAAATATATTAACATTGAATGAAAGGCTGGCAAAAATCATAATGCCATTAGTTTAAATTATAGACAATAATACAGGTATTTAAATGATAAAAAAAGATTTATTATCTCTAACTAGTTGTGAGACTTGAAAAAAGTCATTTAAAGGGACAATGGTAAAAAGAAATTTAACCTTTACTAAATGTATGACTTGATTTTGACTTTAACAGAATTATGAAAAATGAAGAATACAATAAGCTAAATGTAAAAATTTGTATTTTGAAATTAACTCTAGATTAACTTAAATAATTATCTTACTTTGGAATGAAGTTAGAGTTTTTAAATTAGGAGTGGTGGTCTTTACTATGGGCATGAGAAAAATATATAAACATCTATCCAAAATTGGAAGTACATATGCTAAATAAGCCTAAAGAAGATATTTGGTTTTTATATTAATAAAAAATGAAATTGAGAAATGAATAGTCTTTTCTTTATGAATCCATGAAAACTGTCTAGTTATCAAACTTAGTGTTGATCTAAGTAGCGGGAGTTAGTATTTCAAATATTAATGCGTGAAAACAAGTCAACAGTGTGGTTTAAGACAGTGATCTACTTTAGAATTTTATATAACATGAGCTAGCAATAAGATTTTTAGGGATTTTATGTCAAAACAAACTTTGTGTATAAAGAAACAGTTATATGAGCTTCCTTAATAACTTTATTTAATGTAGTAAAATTAGCTCTAATAATTAGTGGCTTTACCAATTTTAAAAATATCAATGCATGGAGGGCATTACCTCATATTATTAAAGTTGAGGAAAGGTCTATAATGTTAATTTTTATTGAAATAAGCTATTGGCTATTGAGATAATTTATTTATGGTTGTCTAATATTTTAAGGGTAACTATTTTTAGAGTCATTTTTCTTAGTCATAAACTGTTAACAAGACTTGAAGTAAGGCCCTGTTTCAATGTTTATAGGCTTCCAAACTCTGTTTTTAACTTAGAAGATGAGTAAAATTTTTACCCAGGAAGTGTATTTCTTCTGGGGCTATGACTAGCATTTTAATCTCTTTCTGTCTGTATATTTGCCTTTCTTTTTCTTTGTTCAGGCATAATATTCAACTATGGCATAATATCTAAACTATGGCATAATATCCAAACTTGGCTAGAATTATGCTAACCTTTGTAAATCCTTTGGAATGTCTAGGGCTAACTGGATGATAAACTCATCTTTAGAAAATGGGTGGCCCCCTATAAGTTTAAGGTACTATATTGTCTTTTTAAGTCTGTCTATGAAAATAGTAGGATTTTTCTAAAGGCTCACTAAAATCCTTTTTTAGGCAGTTTGTTTATCTGTTGGATACTAATTTGTTCTGGGGAGCAGTCCGTGCTCCAACTGTCCAGCTTGTCCCTATTCTGTGTTACTGGGACATGGTTAACATAAATCTTCTTTAAAACTGTTTTTAAGATGGCCTTCTATTTTAAAGTTTAAATAATTAATAGCATAATATTTCTCTAGGTAAGGTTGGACATCTGGCATAAATTTTGAAATAATACATGAATTTGGATTTTTCAAAAATCTCCCTGAATTTGTTTTGTTCAATATTAAGTTGAGAGGCTCCCTTCAATCTTTCTTTCTAGTAGGTAATTTTTAAGGCCTTCTTTAATGATAGTAGTTGAGGCTAGATATGAAAATGAGACACCTTTTATTGATTATTTTAATTTCTCAGTACATAGACTAGTTGATTTATCCTAACAATTTAAAAAGAACCTTCAATCTGTGAGAGAAAGTCTCAAAATATCTTTATATCTCAGAATATTATCCTTTAAATAGGTGTCTCTTAATTGTCTTTTAGAAAATATGATTAAGGTTACTTCCCAATGTAGGGAGTAGTAAATAAATCTTACCATATTTTTAATGGATTATAGGTCCAATCAGAGAACTTATATAATATGAATGAATTTTCAACAAAGTTTGTAACTTTTATTGTTCAAAACTACTGTTGACTTTAATTTGGAGAACATGAATCCTAATAAAATTATTCTCTCAAATCCCATAAATATCCAACAAATAGAAATAATATGCAAGAATCAGCAATGTCTTTGAATCAATCAAATTTAGTCTACAAAGAGAGTGTCAAAATTGGAATTTAAGTCAGCATTTAAAATTATTTATTGTTTAATGAAGAATGTGAATTTATTCACTAAAATTAATCCTTATCTTAAACATTAAGAATCATTAGGCAAATAAAGACCTTCCTTAATGGAAATACACTTAATATTTTAATAGGTCTTTATCATGTCAAAATATGGACAAAATCTTGGTTCATATTAGTATAATAAAATCAGAGAAAAAAGTCTGAAATATCCTAGAATTAATCAGTTCAGATTATTATAGTCAGTCCAGTTATATATAAATCTATTTTTCAATTGTTTTAACTTTCAATATCATCTGTCTAGATAATGATATAAGGATTTCCTTATTTAGGAAAATTCTTTTATCATGAAAATCTAGAATATAAAGACCTTTTTTTTACCCAAAGATGATTTCTTTCTCTTCTTAGTACCTCCAGTGTGTGCTTCCTCTCTGTGGAAGTATCTTCTTTTATCTTTAAAATTTTCTTGGTTATACTTTGGAACAATTTCTGTAAATCTTAGAATCTAAACAAATTATTATACTTTGATAAGAAAAAATATCTCAATCAAAATATAATAAAGCCCTTAGACATTTTTGTAGACAGAATCATATTTGTTTATCATCTTATAAAAGTTTCTACAATAATTTGAGAATTAGAGATTATTTTATGGTTGTATTATCCCTTGAAAAAAAATTTTATAATAAAATACATTTATCTCAAATATCTGTAACTATAAAAGGCAGAGCATCAGATAAATGCATGTATAAGGGATATAAATTATGTGTTTTCTGATGAAGGAAAATGATTAGAAGCAAATAGATACATATTAATTAAACAATTAGACATATATGTTTCTATGAATTAATGACTATAGATTATCCAAATAACTGGAGAAATATGCTTTAAGAAAAAAGGTAAAACTTACTATTATACAATCATGGAATTTTAAAATAAGCCCCATTAAACCATGTGATTCTTAAAAGTATTTGGATCCATTTTATTTTACCTTGGACTAGTAGTTCACTTTTTACATTTGTGATGTCATGTGATGTGTCTCAAGTAAAATCCTTGTGTATACATTTACTTTTTTTTTGGTAATTATATAGTCAGGAAAGAGAACAATAAGGATTCTTTGGTCATCACAGGAACATTGTGAGAAAACGTCTCAGAATGCCGACTTTTCTACCTGTGGTGAGCAAAATGCATCTTCATAACCTCCAAAATTAAAACATAAGCAAGCAAGCATATGTATCTCTTGTAATTGTTATATTACTTCTGCAATTTTTCTCAATAATACAGCTCTAACAGATTTCTAAAGGAACCTGTTGAGGGATAAAAATTAGATTATTTAGCTTTAGTTAAAATCAGGGCAATGTAGGAGCCTGTGAAGTTAGATTTTGCCTGAAAAAGATATCCTTTGTGAGTATTTACAGGTGGGCATTCTTCACTAAAATATAGGCTCTGTGTAGCTCCAGTAGGTCTGTGTGAAGCAGGAAGTACAGGTTAGTGGCTGGAAGGCAGGACCAAAAAGTCCTGTTTGAGTGACAAAAAGAAGCCAAGCGAAAAATGCAGGAGGTAGGATTCTTCCACTACATTGTCCTGGCCATGTGGCTGGAAAACTCTTCTCGGTTCTCCACAGCCCCAAATCTTGCCTGAGGTCCTGTGTGCTCCACATGTTCTATTACCAGTAAGTCTGATTGAAACCCCAATGTGCCCAGGGAAGAGTCTGTGGCTTGTAAAGCTAGCATGGTGAGGTTGCCTCAGCTTTTGTTGCCACCGCACCTGCTGGCCATGGTCGCATTGGTAACACGAGGGTGCTGAATTTAACTGAAGGTGACAAAGGCCTCCTTTTGCTGACTGCTTCTTTGCCTGTCCCACAGCTGCAACTTGATCTGCTGTGAAAGTCCCTGGCACCAGGCTGACCTGACTTTCAACCATTTCTTCTGCCTGTGTCCTTCCTGCTGGGGTGGGGCTTGTGCCTACTGACTTGTTTCCATGTTCCCCTGGGGTCATGGGCCCCCCTTTTCCCTAGCCAATGGGCCAGTCAGTGTGAGGTTGAGAGTGGGGGAGCCAGTGGATGTGGCTGCCACCAATGCTGCAGCTTGGGCTCAGCCCATGTCAGCACCAGGTGCCCCATACCCTGGGAGAAAGCATATGCATGGCTGTGCCCTGAAATGTGCTCCTCGGCAGCTGTGGCACCATTGTTTGGCTACCCAGGGTCCCTCTGCAACCTTATTGAAGTGGGCATCCTGCCAGTTGGGCATCCCACCAGGAGCCAAGTAGCTGCCCAGAATGGGTCCTAACCAGTAAGTTGTCCTCCATTGCCCTAGAGCAATCATCCAGGTTATCGAGCAGCACTGTCAGTCAAAGGACTGCCTCCCTGCAGTGCACGCTTTCCTGTGAGCATCTCAAGAATTCTTCAACTCCAAAAATGGGCCCCTCTGCAGATGCTAGAGCTGGCCGGCCCCAGAGTAGACCAAATTTGTCAAATTAGGTTTTTTTAAAAAAATATATATTTATTTTTTAGTGTTTTAGGTGGACACAATATTTTTATTTTATTTTTTATGTGGTGCTGAGAATCGAACCCAGGGCCGCTCGCATGCTAGACGAGCACGCTACCACTTGAGCCTCATCCTCAGCCCTCAAGTTAGGTTTTTTAAAGGGCAGAATATTGCTGGTGGTGGGTCTAGTTACAGACTTCATAGGGAACAGCATCTAAAGCTTTGCATTTGTCCCAAAACCTCAGCTGACTCACAGTTCACCTGATTTGAATATTTGGTAAGGATGCACAGCAGATTTATTTGCCCAATTCAAATTGTCTAAATAATTCTAGAAAGTAAAAATCATATTAAAAAATTTTTAAAAATACTTTACTTTTTTAGAAGCTGAGAACTTCTGGGATTTTAATATTCCCTTAGTGAAAACAATTTTATTCTTGCTCCCTTCAATCCTCTAAATATCAATTCCCAGTACATAAATCCAAAAATTCTTATCTAAAACATTTCAAAACACAAAAATCCACATTAAAAACATACTTATGAGAAAGGACACACTTTAACCATATACATTTTATCAACTACCTTAAAACATTCCCAGTAGGGCCTCCATTTATCGCTATCTATCCTAGCTGTCGACCTAATGCTGGGTTCACAAAATCTAACTATTCAAATAACTTAAGAAAACAACAAAGAAAGCACGCAAACACACAGAAGTACCTTTTCAATAATCCAGGGATGGCTCTGCAACCTTAAGTGTCTGTGGAAAGAGAGAGAGAGCCACTGGAATTATTTATTCTTATATATGGGACACACAAGGGGAGTTTCCATAGAACATTCTATCCCCAAAAGGGCAAAGGGGTAGGATTACAAGGGAACAGGTGAGTGTAGCTCAACCCCAGCAGGTGTCACCTATACCTGGAGCCACACCTTGTTATCCCAGCTGTGGTAACCTCAAGTTACTGAGGAACACAATAATTGTTCAGTGCCCTGGGGCTTCAGGACTTAAAGGTGTGTTCATCCAGGGCAGCTCTGGGCAGTAATAGCTTAGATTTTTCCATAACCAAAGATAAAATATGCCCAATGAATTCCAAAAAGAAAGGGAAAATGTTAAAAGCAGCCAGGGGTGAGGAGTTGGGTATGGAATATAATTTTCAAAGGAACAACAGAATGACAGCAATGCAGAATGCCAAAAGATAATCAAATACTATCTTCAAGTGCTATAAGATAAAACAACCCACAGAATTCTGATAGCCAGAGAAAACACCTTTTAAGAAATAGGGCAAAATAAAAACATTTTCAAATGAATAAAAGCATACTTTGTCACAGAAGACACTCTCCAAATGACATATTTTTGGCAGAAACCAAATGATCCCAGTCAGAAGATATGAGGGGCAAGAAGTAATGAAAACCAAAGGCAGGTCAGTCACCATGTGGCACACCTGTGATCCTAGAGGCCCAGTAGGCTGAGGCAGGAGGATCACAAGTTCAAAGCCAACCTCAGCAACTTAGCGAGTCCCTAAGCAACTTAGCAAGACCTTGCCTCAAAATTAAAAGTAAAAGTGGGCTGGAGATATGGCTAAGTGGTTAAGCACCCCTAAGTTCAATCCCTGGTAACAAACAAAAAAGAAAAAGAAAACCAAAACAGTAGTGAATAGGCAGGAAATGTAAACAAACATTGATTGCATTAAATAGTCTTTGTAATATGTAGTGGGACTTAAAATAGGTATGAGATGGAAATACCAGACAAAAATAATGCATAAGTCAAGAGTAGGTAAAAAAAGAACCCTAGATGTTGTATGAGGTTTTAGTAAATTTAGACTTTGACAAATATATATTTTTTAATCTCTAAAGGCAAGCCCTTAAAAGAACAGAAAGAGACCATAAGTCATCCATACTGGAAGAGAAAGCCCTTTAGTTATTCAAAAAGAAAAGAGAAACGTAGAGATAAAACAAATCAAAAGCACAATACAAGATGGCAGATTTATGTCCCAAATAAAGATTATATTATACATGAATAGAGTAAATTCTTTAGTTACAGAGTAAAATTGTTGTATTAGAATAAAAAGATAATCCAATTGTGTATATATGAGATATATCTAAGCAGATACTCACCTTACAGTTTTAAAATAATTTCAAAGACAAAATACTCAGTGCCAGGGTCTGGGGTTGTGGCTCAGTAGTAGAACACTTGCCTCACATGCATGAGGCACTGGGCTTGATCCTCAGCACCACAAAAAAGTAAATAAATAAAATAAAGATGTTGTGTCCATCTACAACTAAAAAGATATTTTTTAAAAATAGTCAGTGCCAGGCTTTGAGGTTTGTCCTAAGGAAACAATTTATAAAAGAAGGTTAGCCAGTATCGAGGGAAAGGAAGATAAGCCTGGAGAGTGGAATCCCAGAGAATAGAACAGAAATAATAATATGTGCCATAGCCAAGAGGAGAGACAGGAGTGAGCTCTTGGGAAACTAAATGAAATTAATATGACAAAATGGGGTTAGCAGGTGATAAAAGAAAAAGTAATAAAGTTAACAGGAGACAGGTTGTCAATGATTGTTCCAGGAAAACCCAGACATAGTGTATAAAAACTAGCCTCTAGTCACCATAAGATTGAAGAGAGGCAGACACATCCAGGATTACACAGGGTGCAATTTGTTGGGGGACTTAGTGGCAGAAGCATAGTCCTGAAGGACAACAAGACCAATGGATCTCTGTGATTTGAGTGGTCAGAGGGAACAGGGCTTAGAAAGTAGCCTGAACAAAGGTGATTTCATCCAAACCAGAATGTACTTGGGTTTATCTTTGTTAGAGATTCCAGGCTCATTCCTATCCCTGACAGCTCCAGAGTTGGGTCATGAACCTCCATATACTACTCTGATGGATTTGTTTATTTATAATGTTCTGGGAAACTATGCAAGGAAAACCAACCATGATTATTCAGAGGCAGTCCTTGTGGGCTGGACTCAAGATGGTTGCAGTCATGTCAGGCTAATGTCAACAATGACCTTTTAAGCAAGCTGTTGTAAGGAGTTGGAATTTGACCTTAGAAATTATTAGAATTCATTTGAAGATGAAATAATGTGAATTGTGAATTGCCTTTCAGAATGATGCCTTTAGCCACAAGACAGGAGGGATAAGAGGCTCTTATAATGATCTGAGAGATAAAACATAGTCTTTAATGTTTATGATTAGGCTGGCCTAAGATTAATACTAGCAAACCTATAACATTTCCTGAGGGCCAGGTATTAATTTAAAGCTTTCAATATGAGTTTTCACATAATTTTCACAATTAGGTAGTCACTATTCACCAAAGTAACAAAAGTATTATTATACTCCCTCTTTATTTTATTTATTTTTTAGTACTGGGGATTGAAGTCAGGGGTACTTTATCACTCAGTTACATTCCAGATCTTTTTTATTATTTTTTATTTTGAGTCTCCCTAAGGTGCTGATGCTGACCTCAAAATTGAGATCCTCCTACCTCAGCTTCCTGAGTTACTGGGATTATGCCTGTATGTTCTCTATTTTGAAGATTAGAAAACCTAAGACACAAAGACCTTAAGTACAGTTGTATGCTGGTAGAGAGCAGATCCAGAAGGCAAGCCCAGCCAGCTTGGGACATTGCTAAGAAATCACTCCAACAAACAAATGAAAGGAGTCTATGAACTTTCCTCCTTTAGTTAAGCAAGCCTTCCTTCTTGTATTTTGTTTAGTTTGTTTATTTTTGCTGTATGGGTGTTTCTGTTCCTTTCAGCACCCTTTTTTTACTGTAAGAACTGTAGGCAGAGAGACTAGCCTGGGTTCCCAGGGGCAATTCTGGTGTTCACACTTGAGGCTGTGAAGTCAAGGGTCACTTTCAAATTATTATTGGAGATTCAAGGAGCTCATATAGATAAAAATCTTTATAAATTACAAATCTTTCAGTAATTATTTTTCTTCTCTTGTGTGAACATTTGAAGTTTGCAAAATTGGACGTTTGGCATGGCAGTGAATCCTTTCTTAGAATTCCAAATTTTTTTCTAAGACTTAAAAAAGTACAACTTGGTAATTATCTAGAAAACTGAGACATCTCCATTTTCAAAATGACTATCTCCTTACTCCAACTTTCTAATAGGTAATAAGTGTTTTCTGTCCATGTATCTGTAGGACTGCTTAGTTGCTAGAGTTTAGAAAAGTCATGTCATTGTCTTTTCTTGTAATACCTACACATAATGGCTGCACTTACTGATACTATAATGTGAACTAGGCAAGATTTAATTTGTACAGCAATGTGGAGAGCGGGTTCCTGTCCCAGCTCTCTAAATCAAAGCTTCTCAAGTCAGTCCCCCATTTCCTGCCACTTAGATGAACCTTGGTAGAGAGCAGACCCAGAAGATAAGCACAGCCAGGCTATGCTCTTGACCCATAATCTTTCCCACATGGTGCCAAGGGGAAGCTGAGAATGTAAAGGAGGGCTGGCTTCTTCAGCTGTGTTAGATCATGTAGTCAACAGTATTTGCAGATTTACTAGATAGAGGAGTGCAGAAAGGGGCAGGAAGCAAAGAGGAGGAAGAATCCAAGTTTGGGGGATGGGGCACCGGGGTCTGTACTGGTGTCATTCACTGAAATAGGAAACAGAAGAGGGAAGAGCATATCTGTAGAAAGGTGATGTAAAGGCCTGTAATCCCAGCTATTGGAGGTTGAGGCAAGAGGAACACAAATCTGAGGCCATCCTGGGCAACAAGTGAGACCTTGTCTCAAAATAAAGCTTTAAGAAAAGGCTGGGAAGGTAGGCAGACCGGGAGAACAGGCCCAGCCTCCTACCGGTGAGGTATAGACAGACCACTCCAACTGGAGGAGGGGCCCTGCCGCCCATGCAGTCACCTGACTGAGCTATTGACAAACATAAGGTTTCCCCAACACCCCCACCTCATCAAACACCTTATGAGAAAAACTGATGAAACTCATCTTGGAAAATCCCATCAACCCTTAAAACCCACCAACCGGTTGGCGTGGCTACCAGTGTGGTTCTGCAGCGGATCAGGCACCCGGTTTACATCTCAGAGAATAAGAGTAGAGAGGCCACAGGTGGAAGCTCAAGTCCTCTCACACTGACTACCACCACCATCCTGAACCCAGAGACTCAAGCTAGGAATAGACAATGCCACCAACTGGAAGAAATAAAAACAGAGTTCTGAGAGACATTTTTTTTCTTTTTTTTTCTTTCTTTTTCTCTCTCCTCTCTCTTTTCAGCCATTCACCCAGTATCCTCTACCCTTCCCCCTCTGGTCTTCGCAACCTCAACATATGTGAAACCAAAAATTGTACAAGAAAAAGGTCTTTAACAACTGAATCACCAGAATAATATACTATAGAGGAATTGCATATGCCCCACCTCCCTTCCCCCTTTTTATTCCTTTTCTTTTTTCTCATATTTTCTTTTTCCTGCTCTCTGTTTTCTCTCCCTTTCCTTGTTATCTGTTTTTCTCCCTCTTATTCCCTCTATCCCACTTGCAATCCCCTAAATTTTACTATTCATAAGTAGGGTAATCTTATAAATACAGACAAGGATTTGAATCTATACATTCTTCCATAAATTACCCATCTATTGGTTAGAGTCTCCAAAGTTACTAAGTTAGATTAACCCCATACCCTTACTCCTTTCCCCATAAACATAACATCCTACACCTGAAATCCAGTTTTCTTCAAGCTACCAGAAATGGTATGCCTTTCATGAAACTAATGACTATATTTGTAAACGATAATTGAAATCAACATTTATAGACATAGAGTCTAGCTATAAATGTAGTAATAAGGAAAACGTGTGCTTAGATGGTATACTATTGATATTGAGAATTGTTAACGTTGTCTTTCTCCACAAAAGGGAGACTTTGCAACTATACAAGAGCAATATAAATATATAGGGGGAAAATTCAATAACACAACAGTTTCACCAAGCAGAAAGAAACGCGAGCAGTATGAAAAGACAAGGAAAGAAAGGACCATAAGCAATGCAGGTCAACTCAACTTTAGAAGAGGTAATAGCTGCAGCAGATGGAATGTCAGATAAAGAATTCAGGATATACTTGCTTCAGATGATCTGGAGTCTCAAGGAAGACGTTAGACAGCAAAATCAGACAATGAAAGATCACTTCGACAATGAATTACATAAACAAATCCAAGAAGCAAAAGATCAACTATACAGGGAGATAGAGGTTATAAAAAACAAACAGAAATCCTAGAAGTGCAAGAAGCAATAAAACAAATTAAAAGCTCAAACGAGAATACTACCAGCAGAGTAGAACACTTAGAAGATAGAACATCAGACAATGAAGACAAAGTATTTCAACTTGAAAAGAACATAGACAGCTCAGCGAGACTGTTAAGAAACCATGAGCAGAACATCCAAGAAATATGGGATAACATAAAGAGACCAAACTTAAGAGTCATTGGGATACAGGAAGGTATAGAGGTCCAAACCAAAGGAATGAGCAATCTGTTCAACGAAATAATACGAGAAAAGAAAGGGCTGGGCTTCAGCTCGGTGGTAGAGCACTTGCCTAACATGTGAGAGGCCCTGGGTTCAATCCCCATTACTCAAAAAGGAAAAAAAAAGTGACACATTGAGTTTTGAATGTGTTTAGTTTGAGGTACCTGGGAGGTTTCCAAGGAGGAGATTTTTCCATAAAGTATTTGGCTGTAGGGATCTGAGCCTCAGGAGGATATTTGGGAGTCGATTTGGGGGATTGTCTGCATAGATTAGAGGTTAAATCCAAGGAATGGAATGTGATGGCTTGGGTTGAAGACTCTGAAAAGTGTTCTTTCTAGAAGAAATTCCATGTGTATTTGTCATATTTGTGGCCCATATTATTTCATAGTTTGGGGGTTGTGGACACTTACTAATTAGTTATCAGTTTTGCTAACCAAATTATTGTAAGTGATGCCAGTCTTTTAAAAGTCTGATTCAACCTGAGCTTTGAGATCTGGTGACTGTGAAGGAATAAAATGACCTCTCAGTTTGAAACCTTGTGTTCCAGATTGACTCCTGTAGAGCACTGCTGCTGGCCAGCCTCTGAAACATGTCCTTCTTCCTAGAGAACACATGGAGGCCCTGTCTTAGCCCATTTCCTGGTTTATCACAAACTACTTGAGAGGGGATGATTTATTGAGTTAGAGGTTTATTTTGCTGATGGTCCTGGAAGTTGAGAAGTCCAAGAGCATGGTGCCAACATCTGGTGAGAGCCTTCCTGCCGAATCAAAGCATGGTAGAGGAGTCAGCTCTTAGGAAGCTTCCAGTGCCATCTTAGATGCTGCACTCACACCAGCTGCCACTGGCCACACCTCCACCACAACATATGAATTTGGGGATTAAGTTTCATCCAAACCATAGCAGGGCCCTTTGCAGATCAGACACTCACAAGGCCACACTCAGAAGACAGTAGGCCACAACCACAGCAGCGGGTGCTAGTTCATTATTCCAAAAGTCTCTTGTGAATGCAAGCTTATAGGGATTTTTTTAAAACTCCAGCTTTCTAAGAGCTGCTATTCCCTAATCAAGATACTAAAAATGTTTGCAAGAGTTCAGGGCCATACTGGTACTAATAACCCAAATGATGGACTAATGTTCTCAGAGCCTGTATTTCATCAATTCCCCTGCATACCTTCCCAGGGAGATTTAGCACATCCTGACCTTTTTCCTAAAATCTCTCCCACACAACTCAAGATGCCTAAGACCTCTGAGTACCTTGTAGTTTTACCCAAAGCTGAGACAAAGCTGAGTTATCAGGCAGAGTCCTAGCCTTTGGTTCTTTGCCTTCACTATACAGAGGACAGCACTTATTCCTGTGCTTATTCCTGACCCTAAGTTGCTACCAAATGTAGAAAGAAAAGAAATATTCAGAGATCGTTGGAAGTTAATGAAGTTCAATGCCCCCTCTACTCAAATGTAGACAATTTGGGCCAAGATACTACTACTAATGTAGAATTTCCCCTGCCAGCTCTGGCCTCATTCATATATTCACTGCCTGTGTAGCTCTTGGCTCATGTACTGTCTAGGAAGCCATTGGATTATCAGCTCAGCCCATGTGTGCCCTGCCCCAGCAGTTGCATTTACAGCTGGTAACTTTTACTTCTTTCTAGAAAAACATCAGAGGATTCAACATCCTAGGAAATAGTTGTGATCATAATTAAATGTGAAGACAGTAGTACAAACCAAATGTGCAGTTAGTCACGTCTAGGCCAGGACCTCGTTAGAGGATCACATGCAGTTATTGATGTCTAATTGCAGACACACTGTGGGGTACAGAAAGAGTCCAGGCTAGCTTCTAGAATTACTCAGTTAATAAGAGACCTTGGGCAATGTCATGCAGAGGACTTAAACCCAGGAAGCAAGGTTTGGGGCTCTGCAAGTAGAAAAAGATACAAGATGCAGTTAGGATAGTAGACATGCTTTATTCAGAGGTGGCAACAGCCTCCAGCCAGCTCCATTTTGCCCCCGTTTAGTCCCTTTGTTAAATACAGTCCAAACAAAAAAGGCATACCACCAACAGGTTACACCAGTGGGAGCATGCTCACAAACAAATGTTTACAACCTTCAGTACATACACTGAATCACTGTCTTTCTGGCCTTGACTAACCATAACATAGCTGGTTGCCAGCCCCAAAACAACATAGCCTACCAGAAATCTGGGCAAGGGCAGCTAACTATAAGCCACTTAGGGCCTGCCCCAGCAGACAAACATATAACTCTAGGGGCCTGGATTTGCCTCCCAGCATTGGTGTGAGATCAAAGGCCACAAGATTTCTGAAGCTTGTTTTAGTTCTGACACCCTGTGAATTAGTGACTTTCTAAGTTGGGAAATGGTATGTCATGTCTCCTGCTCCTCTTCTTCTCCACAGGGCCAGTTCTCCATCTCTCCCTTCTCGTGGCATCCCAAAACAGCAAAATAAAAAGTCTAAAATGCTTTTGCTTGGGAAGAAAAACTGGAGCACGGGACATGATGCTCTTTGCAGCATTCTTAGAATGTAGGATGTTATAGCTTTAAATATGCCACACTTTCTCTAGCCTGCAGCTTCCTTTTCTCTAAGGGCTTCTCCATGTTCCTAGGTTACCCCTCCCCTTCCCCACTGCCCTCTCTCCTAGAATTCTCCTATTTCTAGGAAGTTCAATTAGCAACCAGCCCAACCCCATCCCTGCCTCCCCACACCACTTTTTAAACTCTCAGGACTTCACTTTGGAAAAAATGATTCTACAATTTGATGCTTCTTTGTGGGCTATTCAGAATACCCTATGATTTTGGCAAAGGTGGTAGTGGTGCCCCAGTGAGGGCTCCCAGGATCATACTCATTAGTTCATTGTGGAGCTCATCTGCAGGACCAAGGTAGCTACATCCCAGGCCACTTCCTGCCACTTCCTGCCTTGTCATACCCTGCAAAGGGCTGCGTGTTCCTCATCATCACCTGCACCCTTTTGTTAAGGCCTAGATCCCAAAAGGGGCTCAGCCTTACCTCTTTACTGCAATTCCTCTTTGGGTTCCTTAGTGCCCTTACTTGTCCATCAAAGAAGTTCCATGATGTTGAACTTCAAAAAGGGCAGAGTCTGCGCTCTCCTCCTAGGATGTTCTTCTGTTTCTATAAAACTTGCCCTAGTAGTTGTGTCTACTAGTAGTTCCCATATCCACCTGGCAAAGGGTAGCTTCATTTCCCTCCCTCTCCCTCTCCCTCTCCCTCTCCCTCTCCCTGCTCTTTCTTTATCCTCCTTCTCTCCTTTCCTCCATCGTGGCCTGCTATGGTTTGAATGTTTTTCCCATCCAGAATTCCTGTTGTAATTTACCATTGTTAATAGTCAGAAGAGAGGGGATATTTCAGGAGGTAATTAGGGCCTGAGGGCTGTACCCTCCTGGCTGAAATTAATACTGTTCTAAAAGACAGAGTTTGGCTTCTCCTGCCTTCACTCTTCTTGCTCTTTGTCACATTCTGCAACAAGGGTACGTGGGAGACCAGCCTATCATCTCCGAGGTACCAACTGTTGGAACTGCCCTCCAACAGGAGTAGTGAAGCACAACCGACCTCTGACAGGGGTAGTGAGGTGCATTAGACCAGCTAGTGTCTCCGGGGCTGAGTGAGAGGGTGAAGTGTCTAGACCCGCCCGGCATCCAACCTGGCCCACACAATTACACCGAGTCAGGAGGTGAGTCAACCATGAAGGTGCAATAATTTCAACTTTATTGTGTCAGGGACAAGGTTATATAGTGATAGGAGGACTAAGAAGAGATAGTAGCAAGAACCAATAAGGAGCAGTTATGTCACTGTCACTAAGGGACCTAGGCAGATTTCAGATTAAACCATTAGGCGGGACTAAGGTCAAAAGCCCAAGAACACCGATCCAGCCAGGTCATGTATACAGAAATTCTCTGGAAGAACCCATGAGGCCACCTCAGCCAACACCCAATAACGGGTTGAGAGCCACAGCTGAAGGGGCCCCAGCAAAACTTCCCTAAGCAAACTTCCAGCTGATTGGCTCACCGTGGCCCCAGCAAACTTCCAGTTGCCAGCTGATTGGCTCCTCTACGGTGATGCTCATTGGGTTATTTCCCTGCCCTTTCAGACCACGGAGCTGTTCATTGTGTGACCCAGCCACATGAATGTTTATAGCAGTTCAATTTATAATAGCTAAACTATGGAATCAACCTAGATGCCCTTCAACAGATGAATGGTACATATACAGAACAGAATATTACTGACCCTTAAAGAAGAATGCAGGTAAATTGATGGAGCAGGAAGATGTTGGTAAAGATGGCATCTGGAGTGCTTCTCTTCTGGGAGCTCAGGAGTGTTGGTAAAGATGGCGCCTGGAGCACTTCTCTTCTGGGAGCTTAGGTCCATGACGCACTGAATGGCGCGAACCATCACCTCCAATCCCTGTGAATGGCACAAACTTTGAATGGCACACCTCCAATCCCTGAAGTGGCACGAACTCTCAGCCCACTCGCCTTGCTCCTCCTCATCCTGTGTTAAGACCATAAATATCAACACCTTGTTCGTGTTCGCTCTCTTACTCTCTTGCTCTCCCTCTCTCTCTTGCTGTCCTTCTCTCTCTTGCTCTCCCTCTCTCTCTTTCTCTCCCCCTCTCTCTCCCCCCTCCCCTCCCTTCTCTCCCCTCTCCCCTCTCCCCTCTCTCCTCTCTCCTGCCCCTCTCCCATCTCCCCTCTTCCCTCTCTTCTCTCCCCTCTCCCCCCTTCTCTTCTGCAACTGGCCGTTACAGTCCTGCTAATAAAATCTCGGACAGGTAATACATAAATGTAGGAAAATTCTAGAAAACTTCCTCCCATGCCCAATTAATATCACTGAGGGACCTCTAGAACAATCTGATTAAACCTGGTTCACTGATGGCAGCTCCTTTATGCATGAGGGGATCAGAAAAGCTGGATATGCCATAGTGTCCCTATCATGAGTAATAGAAGCCAATTCCCTGCCTGAAAATACCACCAACCAACAGGCTGAGCTGGTAGCTGCAAAGCAAGCCTGCGAATTGGCAGCAGGGAAAAATCTTACACTTTATACTGATTCCAAATATGTTTTCCACATTCTCTTATCTCATGCAGCAATTTGGAAGAAGAGACGTCTCCTGAACTCAAAGGGCACCTCTATAACCAATTCCACATGCATCACCCAACTACTACAAGCCTCCCAGCTTCCTAAAAAACTTGGAATTGTCCATTGCAGATCATACCAAAACAACTCCTCCCCCATCACACAGGGTAATTCAAAAGCAGATCAGGCAGCCAGGTCAGACGCCACCAGATCTCTCATTGCCACAGGCTCTCCATCATTACCCAATAATGGAGACCCACCTAAACATGCCCTCTTTACTTACTTCCACTCCATTTTCCACACCAGTCCATAGACTATCAAAGCCTTTCTCCACTCTTTCTTTACTCTGACTCCCCAGGATAAAGAAGTGATACAGCAAATCACAGCCTCATGCCAGATATGCAAAAGAGTGAATCCCAATACATCTTTAAAACCCGGAACCTTCCTTTCTCATCAGGCTAGGGGCCGTATTCCTGGGGCAGAGTGGCAAATAGACTTTACCAACATGCCCAGAGTAAAAAACTTCAAATACATACTAATTTTAATAGACACATTCTCAGGTTGGGTAGAGGCCTTCCCCACCTCAAATAAGCAGGCTACCACGGTTGCTAACATCCTCCTAACTGAAGTAATCCCTCGGTTTGGGATGCCCACTTCAATCCAATCTGACAATGGGCCTGAGTTTGTCTCTCAAGTAACCCAGAATGTGGCAAAGACATTGTCCATCCCATGGCACCTTCATTGTCCCTATTACCCCCAGCCTCAGGTAAGGTTGGGTGAGTCAACCGCACAATGAAAGACATCATAATGAAACTATCTTTAGAGACTCATTTAGATTGAATTAAACTCCTCCCTCTTGCCCTACTATGCATGAGGGCTTTACCAAAAAAGCCATCCCTTGCCTCCCCCTTTGAGATAATGTATGGTCATTCCTTTCTTCCCCCAGGAATCTCACCAGAGCCTTGCCTCCTCCCCAACCAATATGCTCTTCCCCTCCTCTTCCTTATACACTCTGAGCTATGGAAGCAACAAGATTTGTTGCTTTACGGATCCAGAGAACTCAGCTGCCTCCTTTCTGCTCAGACCAGGAGAATGGGTCTACTTTTCTTCCCCAGGGGAAAGATCCCCCCTAGCCTCCAAATGGGAAGGGCCATTACAGGTAGTCCTGTGTACACCCAATGCTGCAAACCTCCAACAGGAAGGAAAGAAACTAACCCCCTGGATTCACATTTCTAGGTTAAAACTAGTGGCAAACCTTCCAGAGGACAATCTCACCACTGCTCCCAACCTTGCAGAACCCCCAAAATCGCCCAGATTTACCTGTGAGATATCCCCCAGATAACCCTCTCAAGCTCCGTTTTTCACAGTCACGCACCACCCTTCATCCTATTCCGGAGAAAAACATACGTAAGAATGGGCCTCTTATAAGATCTAGGAACCCATAGCAACACAGTACCTCCACACCTTTTTTAGAAATCAGCAATTGGCACAACAATCCTATTGGGACCTCTTCACAAACCCCATCAGCCCCTGGATTCTTCTGATACTGGAACCTCTAGTTGGTCTTTTTATTCTGTGCCTTCCTTCCTTGCATTTTAAAATTCCTTCAAGGACAAATTAACAAAATCTCTAACCAAACTTTCAATCAGCTCCTTCTCAGGGATTACCAGCTACTTGCCAATGAGCCAGATGACATGCACATCCAGTCATCCCAAGAAACATTCACCAAGTGCTGAAAGATGAAGATATCAAATGACAACTCCATCGAAGGGCCATCTCTACCCCACCATGCCAAAAAAATAAGCCTTTGGTTTTCAGCTTTATATGTTCAAATCTGCCTTCTTCTGGGCATAGGCTTTTTTCTACCAGCCCTACAGACTGGATGACATGGCAGAAATTAATGCTGTTTCTTTTCATAGTTGCAGGGCACATTCATTGACTTCTCCCGGAGGAAATCCATACCTTCAGTGCATGGATATGGGGCCTCCTGGCCCTTCTTCTCCAACCAACTGACTTCCCTCCCTCCCTCTAAACGTCACCCCTACTCAGCCAGATGGAACATGCCACCCCCAAACCAAAACAAAAAAGGGAGAAATGTTGGTAAAGATGGCATGCATAGTACTTCTCTTCTGGGAGCTCAGGAGTGTTGGTAAAGATGGTGCCCAGAGCACTTCTCTTCTGGGAGCCCAGGTCCATGACGCACTGAATGGCGTGCGAACCATCACTTCCAATCCCTGTGAATGGCATGAACTTTGAATGGCGCACTTCCAATCCCTGAAGTGGTGCCAACACTCAGCCAATGAAGAAGTAGCAGCCCATTTGCCTTGCTCCTCCTCATCCTGCATTAAGCCCATAAATATCAACACCCTGTTCGTGATCACTCTCTTACTCTCTTGCTCTCC